AAATTGATTGGCATTTTGTCCCACATAGGGTGATGGCTGTTCAAGTCGCCCATGATAATAATGGGTTGATTCGTGTTTAATATTTTGTCAAGATCGTCTGACTTTAATTTATTGCTTGAATTACAGTATATATTTGTAATGAGGATGTCGTTGACTTTGACTGTTATGTATTGGGTGGAGTTGTTATCAAAAGAAGTAATTTTTTGATATATCAATTTGCTGTATAATAAAGTGGCTACTCCGCCAGTTGACAGTGACTTTGACAGTGATCCAGTAATTGACACCCACTTATTGACAGTTTTCATATAAGGTAAATAATAACGGTGTTTTGTTTATCGTGTTTATTAAACAAGTTGTAGTATAATATCAGAACAATATTTATGATGCCTCAAAAACATCTACAGGTTTAATAAATTTATATTTTCTGGATGAGGCAGTTTGCCCAGTACAGCAGTTTTATTTACACTGGAGATGTCATTCGCGTCCATTCGAAAAATTGTTTTGTCCTCATTTAACACCTTCAGTGACATGACTTCTAACTCGTCGTCGTCGTCATATAATTTTTGCACAACACAAACATATCTGTATTGAGTTGCTTTGCGCTATCCTCCATGAAACTTAATCAACAAATAATCTCCCGTGGTTATCACGCTTGGTGACTCAATTTCGCAGAAGTCTTGATCAACTTCAAATGGGTCAACATCGTCCAAACTACCTCCACTGTTTTCCCACTCCTCTTCAGATGTTTCCGAATCTACACTTACTTTCGTCTCTAATTGAGATTTAATTTTTTTCTTTTTGTTCTCTTCTCGTTGTAATTTTCTTTGTTCTTTCTCTTTAATCTTTCTTTTTTTCTCACCATCTTTGTTTGTATTGTATTTCCTCCATGCCTCTGATATCACTACTGAAGGTATTTTCTCTTTTGACCTTTTCTTCTTGGTCGATGGGAAGGCACTGGCCAAAACAACGCTCTTTTGAACGGCAATGGTACATTCTTTAACGGTGTAGGTAAATTCGAAGACTCCTTATAATTCTGGGCAACTTCGTTTTCGTTGTTTGCAACTTCTTTCAATGGCGTTTTATGTATAGATTGGACCACTCTTTTATCTGTATTAACATTGTTTTCAGTGTCACTTGCAAATGTGCTTTTAACTGCATCTTTCCAAAGGTAGAACAAAGCAGTGTCCGCAATATCTTCATGCCACAAACCCGCTGCCTCTGTCAAGCACAATTGAAATGCTTTAATTTTTGGCTTGGCAATCCTAACTTCCAAGTCTTTTAAAAACTGTTCTGAATCATTTGTTTCTAACAAAGGTATTTGAGTTGTAGGTGGCTTGACTATTTTTTGAAAGTTGACATTTTCTACTTCGAAAGGGCAAAGTC